AGATCTAAAGGTCCCTGGTTCGATCCCGGGTTTCGGCATTTTGACTCATCATTGTCGTGAACAAGTCCTATTCTTGTCCTATAAACATAATTTTTTTTTTTATTATTTCATCATTATTATACAAATTCTTTTTTTGTTTGTTTAATGCTAAACACAAGAGAAAAAATTATCACCACAATGCCACACAAAGTAATTCTGTGAATTTGCTAATGGGTATGTAGTAAAATAAAATGTTCCAATATTTAACACCAAAGAAAATGGAGCCATCAAATTATTTACATTTTTTTTTCTTTAAACAAGAAAGACAGGATTAGAAAAATATATAGTCTTACAAAGAACAGATTAGGCTCACTTTATTGTCTCTTTGTGTGTGTGTGTGTTTTGAAATGTGATAAAACAGCCAGGTGACAGTGATATAAGGGGTGGAACATTTAATAAAATCTCAGATATAATCATTTGATAACAGCATACAACATAAACGTAAGAAAGGCACCTGAGCAGAGAGAACCGATATAGTGCAATAGTGTCATAAAAACACACAGGTAATTATGAAGCAGCCCTGCTGGAGCAGTACTGTGAGCATTTAATCAATTTTCATTTCTGTAATCAATATGACACATTACACTTATGGCATTTTCTTCCAGGAATGACACTGTATTATTATAAAATTACATTCAAAATATATTATCTCCACATAACTCCCAAGTATTGTATACAGTATTTCAGTACTTTTTTTCACATCCCTTCTATTTTTTTACTGGTCTAGCTTCTTTTCGACTTTCCTTTAAGTGCTGCTTTATCAAACATGGATTGACAGGCAGATAGCTGACACCATGAGTCCGCTATAAGAATGAAAGGAATGACAATCCACAAGATATTCATAAACACAAAGTAGAACCAGAAATAGATGGGGTGACCATATTCGCTGTGAATATATCCATCTCTGTGCTCAGTGAAGAAGTAGAGGACTGCACCATACAGCTGACCTGTAAGTAATGGTGGATGTTGAACTTAATTGTGCCTTATAACATACACTGTGCTTCTCTAATTAAAATGACAATGTAGATACTGTACAAACACATATCTTACCTAGAGACACAATGAGTTGCAGGACAAATCTGTAAGAATGATTATACAGGAAGGCCACAACAACCCATATACTGAAGGGACCCCACAGGCACGCGGTCACTGTCTCCATGCTAACGGTGAAATTATCCGCTCTAGAGAAAAGATTCCATAAAAGGAGGTTAGATACAATGCATAGACTCGTTTTTTAATGCACAAACACATGCAAGCACATGTATAACTTACATTGCATATCTGCTGTCTCCTTTGGAATATTCTTTCCCTATACAGGAAAACAAGCATTTTTGGTATTCAAGGGACATTAACAGAATATTTTCAAACTATTATAGTCAAATAGACTTTGAGCCTCACTCACACAGTTGAGAAAGGAAACTCTGGTCTTCGGGAATGATGGTGTAGTATAGAGAGAACCATCCCTCAATGACCCCATGGATGAAGCCACACACAGTGAACCAGCACAGAGTTAACCTCCTCCCTCCACTAAGCCTGCTTCCAGACACCTTACGGCCAGTCAGTGACCAGGTGGCGAGCAGCAGTATCCCGGACACAGAGAACAGGAATATGAGAATCTCTGACATTGAACGGTCATTAGCCACATAGTTGGGAATGGACAGGTTGCGTGGCCAATAGGGATGATTTATAGTGTCTGCTTCCTTCATCATCTGTAAACATTAATGAAAGATATGATTGAGACCAAATGTATACATAGTAGCATTAGAATAATTTTAAATCTGGAGTTACAGATCTTTTATCTTGCACTAGATAACGTGGAAATAACACTACATGGAAATGACTTTATACGTCTTTACTTACTCTGTGATGAGTTGTGAAATATCCTAGAAATGTGATTATTTCCCGCGTTGCTCTTTATGTTGCATATAACTGTTCTTGGAGGTGGAGAGCGCGGCAATGAAGTGCTAAAATCTGCTCTTTGAAACTACATTATCAAATTGCAGAAACATCGCGCCACCGAGTCACATCCTATTATACGCCCACGGGATTCACACTGCCCAATCACCAATAGGCTTTGTGGGAAGACCAACCCATCGTGAAATGTACTCGGCTCACAGTTGGATGATCTCCTCGGAACATGCATGTCGTCACGTGTGATTGCGAAGCGTGTATATGCTGGTGGAAAACATGACGCATTTGGTAAATTAATAACTTTTGTCTGGTAAATTGCCTTTAGAGTAGGTAAAAGAAGTGATGCATAAAATAAACTGAAGCGTCTACGTTAAAAACTAAAATGCACACTCCTAAGCCGTGATAGGGACACATCCCTGCCGTGACCCGGATTCGAACCGGGGTTGCTGCGGCCACAACGC